TAGCAGGTTCCTGCTTTTAAACAGAGTTCTTAATTTTAATTATTTAAGGTCCATTTAAAATCTGACAGTTGCCCCTTATGTGCGTAGGTGGGATAAGTGAAAGCTTTCATTAGAACCAATTTGAAGAATGTTACTTAGCATTCCCTATTATGGAGCACGCAGAGAAAGCCAGTATAGAGTGGATTTTCCATCAGCGTGAATATAGAATGTAGGAGGCATCACTGAATGCAGAATGTAGGGATCACCAATGCTTTGCTGACACCCTACTGCACACAGAAGATTACTCTTACTCTACACCAGCAATGGGCAAACTACGGCCCGGCGGACCTTTTAATCCGGCCCGTGGAGCGTGATACTGTCAGGATGGCTGTCAGGATGTGTGTAGGCGGGGCAGCGTTACGAACGTGAGGGGAAGGGAGCTAGGCTCCTCTCACAGTCCGCCCTGAAGACCGGAACGGCGCGGGGGAACACGGCGAGAGGAACACGCGGAGCAAAGGTAAGTAAATTGACACAGGGGGGACTTGGCTTACTACTTGGGGGGGAATAGTACTATGGGGGATGAAATACTATATGAGGGATGAATTAATATGGGGGATGAAATATGGGGAATGAATTACTATAGGGGGGATGAATTACTATATGGGGGATGAATTACTATATGGGGATGAATTACTATAGGGGGGATGAATTACTATAGGGGGATGAATTACTATAGGGGGATGAATTACTATAGGGGGGATGAATTACTATAGGGGGGATGAATTACTATGGGGGATGAATTACTATAGGGGGATGAATTTTTATAGGCGGGATGATTACTATATGGGGGATGAATTACTATATGCGGGATAAATTACTATGGGGGATGAATTACTATATGGGGGATGAATTACTATATGGGGGATGAATTACTATATGGGGGATGAATTACTATATGGGGGATGAATTACTATGGGGGATGAATTACTATAGGGGGATGAATTACTATAGGGGGATGAATTACTTATGGGGGATATTACTATGGGGATGAATTACTATATGGGGGATGAATTACTATGGGGGATGAATTACTGGGGGATGAATTACTATGCTTACTATGGGGGAATATTACTATACTTACTATGGATGACACATACACATCATTCATCTACTCTTGGTCCGGCCCCCGGGTCCAATATATGAACCCATTGCGGCCCTCAAGTCAAAAAGTTTGCCCACCCCTGCTCTACACTGTTCCAGGGAGGGATACCCTAGGGATAGGCAGGCCAAACATTAGTCATGCATTGACTCGATTCCCCCATCCACACATTTGATGTGGATGGGGGAATCCTCCTGCTAAGCTATTGTATTCTGACGGCCGGGAGACATCCCTGCCATCAGAGTACACTGATCAGAGCTGCAGTCTATAGCCTGCAGCGCTAATCGAGTGGGGAAAATCCAACAGGGCGGTTGTACAGAAGTCGATCGGCAAAACCACAGTGCCCATACCTGAATCAAAATTCAGCTGGTCCCTGCTAAACCGGACAAATTTTGATCCATGTGTGGGGAGCTTAGATGAACTTGCATAACCTGCTACAAACACCCCTGAAACCTGCAGACAACTGTCCCAGTGCATGTCCATTCTCAGTAGAGGTGACCCCTAGGGACCACACACTTGCCACATTCATGTCAGTTCAATGTAATTCCCGATTGGTCATGGAATAATAATAATAATTCTTAGGTATGCAGTGGCATTTGTGGCTGAAGAAGGGAGAGGAATCTGCACCCAGTGGGTGACCTGAATGATTTCAATCTGAACTCTAGGCAAATAAAAAGTGTACACCAGTTACACATGTGCAGCCTATTTACTGCAGAATGGTATCTGCTCTTTGTTATATATTGGCCAGCTAGTATAGATAGTCAAATCTATCTTTATATTAGCTTCCCGAGATCTCCAGCACAACAGCAATCAGACTAGGAAAAGGAAGGCCAACAGTATGAGGCACTTAAACTGCATTACACAGTACTATCCATCAAATACTGGAAGCTTGCTGACAGACAGAGAAATCAAAATGATGACCTTATGAGTTTGCTGGTGCTCATTTATTGTCCAGATTCCAGTCAGCGGGTGGAGGGTCAGTTGTTAAGCATCATCATTGTTTAACTGAAGGGAAGACAAGCAGAAGACCTGGCTATGCTGTCTGGTAAGGGCTTCTGCAATTTATGAATGGCTGATCACAAGACAAAAACTTTAGCATGTGATTTGGCCTTACGTATTAGCTGTCTGGCTGGAGTTCTGCTTTAAACAGCTGATGTGTTCTCTTGTCAAATGCCATCCACCCAATAGTTCAACCTCTTCACAACCACCCACAATTTAAGTTAAAAAAAAAGTTTTTTTTTTAACTTTTGGTCTTTTTTCATTTAGATTGCAAGAAATAAAAAACCCAGTGGTGATCAAATACCACCAAAAAACAGCTCTATTTGTGTGAAAAAATTATATAAATTTCATTTTGGTACAGCATTGCATGACTGTACAATTACCAGTTAAAGTAGCACAGTTGGGAAGCACAGTGGCTAAATGGTTAGCACTTCCCCCTGGCAGCACTAGGGTCTTTGGTTCAAATACCAGCCACGGCACCACCTGCAAAGCAGGGATGAGAAAGCTAGAGATCATTTAGTAAAAGCAGCACACTGTACACACATTACACATAGTCAGACACATATTTAACCCCTTGATCACCCTAGACATTAACTCCTTCCCAGCCAGTGCCATTAGTACAGTGACAGTATATAGTATTATCACTGATCACTGTATTGATGTCAGTGGCAGTTAGTCCGTTCTGCACAGTATACCAGATTGCCCACCTCTCTCCTGCAGTCCCATTATAAGTCACTAATCGCCGCCATTAGTAGTATAAAAAAAAAATTAGTATATATAGTTTGTAGGCGCTTGTATACCTTTCATGTAAACCAATCAATATACACTTACTGGATTTTTTTTTTAAATCAAAGATGTGGCAGAATACATCTTGGACAAAATTTATGAAGAAATTCTATTTTTTTACTTTTTTTTATTGGATATGTTTTATAACAAAGTAAAAAAAATATGCCTTTTTTGTTAACTTTTGGTCTTTTTTTATTTATATCGCAAAAAATAAAAAACCCAGTGGTGATCAAATACCACCAAAAAAAACTCTATTTGTGTGAAAAAATGATATAAATTTTGTTTTGGTACAGCATTGCATGACCGCACAATTAGCAGTTAAAATAGTACAGTTGGGCAGCACAGTGGCTAAATGGTTAGCACTTCCGCCTGGCAGCACTAGGGTCTTTGGTTCAAATACCAGCCACGGCACCAGCTGTCTGGAGTTTGCATGTTCTCTCTGTGCCTGCATGGGTTTCCTCCCACACTCCAAAGACTTGCTGGTAGGTTAACCACTTGCCCTCCTGAGGATTTACCCCCCTTAATGACCAGGCCTCTTTTTGCTACTCGGCGCTGCACTAATTCAACTGATAATTGCGCGGTCATGCAATGCTTCACCCAAACAAAATTTACGTCCTTTTTTCACACAAATAGAGCTTTCTTTCGGTGGTATTTGATCACCTGTGCGCTTTTTATTTTTCACGCTATAAACAAAAAAAGACCAAAAATTTTGAAGAAAAACAATATTTTTTACTTTCAGCTATAAAAAATATATAGTAAAACTCAAAGTTAGTTATAAATTTAGGCCAAAATGTATTCTGCTCCATGTTTTTGGTAAAAAAATCCCAATAAGTGTATATGGATTGCTTTGTGTGGAAGTTATAGCGTCTACTAACTATGGTATAGATACTGCAATTTACGCCATTTTTCTGCTATACGCGCTGCGCTAGTTTAAACGGACAATTGCACGGTCATGCAATACAGTACATAAATGAAATTTATGTCCTTTTTTTCACACAAATTGAGCTTTCTTTCGGTTGTATTTGATCGCCTGTGCCTTTTTTTTTTTTAGCGCTATAATTTTGAGAAAAAAAAACAATATTTTGGACTTTTTGCTATAAAACATGTCCAGTAAAAAAAAATTTTAAAATCAAATTTCGTCATAAATTTCGGCCAAAATGCATTCTGCGACATGTCTTTGCTAAAAAAAAAACCCAATACGTGTAAATTAATTGGTTTACGTAAAAGTTATAGCATTTACAAATGGCGGGAAAGATACTGGGATTTTAAATTTTTTTTTTATACTAATAATGGCGGCGATCAGTGACTTATGGCGGCGATCAGTGACTTATGGCGGGACTGCGGCGGACATTCTGACACTGGGGGGGAACTGACTTGGGGTCACTGACATCCCCAGTGACACCAATACAGTGATCAGTGCAAAAAAAAACACTGACACTGTACTAATGGCACTGGGGAGGAAGAATAAACTCTTCTCTCCGGCTCAGCATGTCAGGAGCTGTCAGGGAACTGACAGAGAGCAGAGCTACTGCAGCCATGCTCTCTGTCAGTGATTGCCGTTAATCTGCGGGACACAGCCGGTAACGATCGGCTGTGACCCGGCGACTGACATCCGCGGCCGTGATCGGCGGGACAGGTAGGGCGGTGGCGCGCTTCACGCGCACCCCCTACCTGTTTTGCAAACACACGTTTTAAAAAACGTGGTTTTCCCCAGCTGTGCCGCCCTGCCAACCTATTTCTACAGTGGCTGGGCGGCATGTGGTTAATAGGAACCTGTCTAAATTGTCCCTAGTATGTGTATGTATGAATGTGAGTTAGGGATCTCAGATTGTACGCCCCTTGAGGGTTAAGGACTGATGTGAATGTACAATATATATGTACAGTGCTGTGTAAATTGATGGTGCTATAGAAGTACCTGAAATAAATAATAATAATTCCGTATAACAAAAATGGCCTGGTCATGAAGGGGGTAACACCTTCCAGAGCTAAAATGGATATAGCAGTTTTTAGGGAGCCAAGGCTGAAATATTAGGGTCACCCTGCAAGGCCAGTGATGAATGAAGAGGAATTATCATACCTGTATCCTTTCCTTCTGGACACCAGACGGTGCAATATAAATTTCCTCCCTGGACAAAAGAAAATAAATACAATTTATCGATGGCAATAATCAACATAGAAAGGTTAGTAAAAGGCAAAGGGTGTCAAAAAGGAATATTTGAATCTTGCTTTAAATTTGGAAATCCAATGCAGAGCAGCTGCCCTTCTGCTTTGTGAACACAGGAGGTCGGCCACTCGGCACGGGCACCATTTTCTAAATGAATACAAAGCGTTCTCTAAATGGACAAGGCGGTGAGCATGAGGTCACCTCCCCACCTTGTTTAAGCAGACTGCTTTGTTAGACCTCTGAGGTCTCCCCTGTCCTCCACTGAAGCTAATGGAGCATAGAACGCACTCTTACCTTCTTCCTCAGCCACAGAGGCCGAGAAAAATGAGGGCCAAACCTAGAAGTAATGTAAAGCATGTTGCTTTCTGGGCTCATTGTAGCTAGAGGAGATCAATGAATGGACGTTCCTTGGTCTCTCTTGGATCTACTTGGCGGCAGCCGCTATGGGGTTCTCAGGCCCACAGGTGGGAGAGTGGAGTCTGGAAAATATGGCAGAGGGGTGGGGGTGCAAAAGCAATCGAGTGCTGTCTGATTGCTTCCCCCTGACAGCCATAGTGGGCTTGTCAGATTTAAACCCCACCCCGCTGTATGACATAAGTTGGTGGCAGCGAAAGGGCTAAAGTGTATGGAAATTCTAACAATACATTTAGTTTTCTTATTTGCTTCATTTATGTCTGTTAATTATACCATTTATTATATCTGTCTGACAAGTGCAAAAAAAAAAAAAAATATCTGTTCATCCAGCCATAAATCTTGTGAGATGATAACTTCCTGTGTTCTCTGCCTCTGGACTGGTATCAGTTTGCATTGTTATCTGCCATCCCTGTTGACTACGAAACAACTCCTCCTGTTATAGAGAAGTGAGGGAGGTGTTATATAGCCCTAACACATGGGTATTCCTAACACTCCATGTCCTAGGGGACAATGCTGCTCAGTATGGTTGTCACCCTAGGACAGGAAGTGAGTTAATGGCAGGATTACCAGGTAAAAATAAAGGGAAAAAAAGAAAACTATCACCCTCTTCTAAGGCCTGGATCAAACCTATGCTTTTTTAATGCATTTTGCAGAAACAAACTATAGTCAATTTAACATGGTTTCCTATGGGACATGTTCACATCTATGTGTTTTCAGCCGCTGTGTTTTTGGAAAGGGTCAGGGGCTTATTTTTTCTGCAGCAGATCGCGTTTTTGGTGCAACAGACTTAAATGGAACCGCACCAAAAACGCAAGTGTTGCATTTTGAGTCTTTTTTAGCCAATAGGAAATTATCGAGTGTTACTTTGATGAGAATTTGATGCGATTCTACACTTGATGCGACTGAGCCCTGGTTCACACTGAATCCAACTTTGAGATCGTGCGGCTTCACTTGAAGTTGCACGATTTCAAAGCTGCAGGTCAGTGTGATTTCAGGTACGACTTAGCTGAAATTTGTGCGACTTCATACACAGATGTCTATGCAAGTCGCACCTCAAATTGCAAAAAATATTGCAGGAACATTTTTTTCAAATCAGTGCAGCACCGAAAAGTCAGAGTACCACCGACTTGAACGGTTCCATACCGACAATAGGGTGCAACATTTCATGCGAATTGGAACTGCCAAATTGCAAGAGAAGTTCTACAAGTGTGAACAAGGGCTGAGTGCCAGAAAGTGTAGAGTTGCATCAAAGTCACACTCAATACTTTTCTATTGGAGAAAAAAATTGCAAAACACATAAAAAAAAATTGTGCATATTCAAAACGCACAGAAAAAACAAAATGCATCAATCACAAAATGCATAAGTGTGAATCAGGGGTAAGTAAAACTACAATATATTTCATTTCTGTTCTTGGGTTTAGCTTCACTTTAATATAACATCACCCAAACCGTATACTCCGCTCCTCGCAAGACCTCCTACTCTCCAGCTCTCTTATCTCCTCCTCCCATGCTCGTCTCCAAGACTTCTTCAGGGCGTCACCCATCCTCTGGAACTCCCTACCCCAATCTATCAGACTATCGCCTACTCTACTTACTTTTAGGCTATCACTGAAAACTTATCAGGGAAGCCTATCCCGCCCTCTGCTAATACTGAAATCCTTTATTCTTCCAACCACTCCATCCCCCACAGTTATTACCTATTGTACCATTCACCCCTCCCTCCTAGATTGTAAGCTCCAAGGATCAGGGCCCTCAACTCCCTCTTGTATTGAACTGTATTGTTGCTGTATTGTCTCCCACTATAATGTAAAGCACTGAGCAAACCGTTGGTGCTATATAAATCCTGTATAATAATAATATAATCACAAAATATGGGGAAAATACTAATGAGCGCAGGCGTCTGGACCCACCTCAGCAATCCCTGCTGCGAAGCTGTTGTAGCCAACAGCCAATCCTAGGCTAGGTTCACACCTATGCAGTTTGCGTTTGAGCTGTTTCTGCATTGCGTTTTGCATTGTGTTTTTGCATGTGCGCTTTTGATGAGTTTTTGCCGCGGTTTTGATCTTTATTTTTTTTTTCAATCCATTTTTAAACATTTTTCTTGTTGCTAGGCAGATTTAAAACGCAACATGCATCAAAAAGCGGCAAAAACGCACTACATGCTTTTCTGCAGCATTTCCATTGAAGTCTATAGAACCAAAAATGCAACTTTTTGTGTTCAAAAAAGTCCCTGACCCTTCCCAAAAAATGCAGCGGGTGAAAACATGGAGATGTGAACCTGGCCCTTAAGAAATCATGTTAATGACATGATACTGTTGACAGATGTATCACTTAACCTACTTGGTCGTTTGCGTACTTCATGCACTCGTAACTTCCTCTTTTTTTCTTATCTTCTTTGTTATGTTAATATACTTTTATGTATTGTACTTTTCAAACGTGCCTTGTTTTTGCTGACAATATCACTTTTAAAATGTGCTGTTGTTTTACTGTCTACTCATGTACAATAAAACCATTTGTAAACAAAAAAAGAAATCATGTTAAATGGACTACTGTGCGTTTCTGCAAAATGCTGCGGAAAACATTTAGGTGTGAACCTAGGGTTAGGCGGCATTCCCCACCCCACAGTCGCACGCATACAAAGAAGGAATGCCTAGGTCGCTTATGATTGGTTCCAGGGTGGATTTGATTTAAATCACTAATGAAAAGGCTCGATTTAAATCATAAATTTTTAAAGAGCAGCTGTCATCTCCTCCTCTGACCCGCTGTTGACTCACCGACAGTCCCATTCACTGTAATGAGACGGCTGGTGATGTGGCAGTGACATAACAAGGTGAGGGACGTGGCGGCAGCAGGTGAGTGGATGCCCGCTAACAGGCGCTGCCATGATGGATCTAAAATGACAGGTGCTCTTTAAATGTAATGAATCCGACTCATTCTTGCTGGTAGTTAGAATCTTTAATATCTGCAAACCAAATGAATGTTTCCTTTTTAGAATAATAATCTGTCCGGTTAGTAAAATGGCGATATCAGAACTGATTTTAGGTTAATAGGTTCATCACACATAGCTGGAGAATGACTCAAATTCTATCATTTCATGTTTTTTCTCGTGGTTCCTGTGATATTGTGTGAATGCATCAATGCTGCGCATGTGATCTCAGCTTGCAGAGCTTGGATTCATTGTTAGAGTTTACCAAAAATGTAAATATTGCAGAATATACAGCCTCATGCTACATAACTAAGCTCCATTTCTTGCTGAATAAACTCAATTAATAATGTATCTTAAACAGAAAACTATCTTTGGATAGATTTTTACTCCAAAAGCATTTTATTAAAATAAATTTGATAAAAATAAAAAAAACCCGATTTAAAAAAAAAAAAAAATCAGATTTCTTTAACCGCCTCCCGCCCGCTATATAGTACAATGATGGGCGCAAAGCGGGTTCTCTCATTCTGGGAGGACGTCATATGGACGTCTAATCACGCATGCGCGGCTCCGAGAGAGTGCAGCGCGGTGATTGTCAGGTGCGCTGTGTCCCTCGGACACAGCGGATCACCGATCAGTGAAAGAGCCGAAGATGTTGGCTCGGTCATGTGATCAGCTGTGTCCAATCACAGCTGATCACATGTAAACAGGGAAATGCCGGTTTTCTGCATTTCTCTCCTCACGAGCTGTCACGCTGACAGAGGAGAGGAGAGCCGGTAATCAGCATTCCCCGGAGGGGACATGTACTCTGATCATCAGGGCACTGATGATCAGTGTGCCCTGATGATCTGTATAGTCCCAGCAATGCCTCCTGCCAGTGCCCATCAGTGCCACATTTCAGTGCCTACCAGTGCACATCAATGCCACATATCAGTGCCCATCTGAGCTGCCTTTCAGTGTCACCCATCAGTGCCAGTCAGTGCCACCTATCAATGCTGCCAATCAGTGCCACCTATCAGTGCCAGTCAGTGCCGCCTATCAATGCCAGTCAGTGCCAGCTATCAGTGTGCATCAGTGCCGCCTATCAGTGACCGTCAGTGCTGCCTATCAGGCATAGCTCTGAGGAAGGGGGTTCATCTCCCGAAACGCGTCAGCTTATCCCTATTAATGGCACAGCATTGTATTGACTGTCATTGTGGACCACATAATCTGCTTTTAATTTCAGTTGGTTTGTGAGTATACATCTATTTGTCTATATAATAAATACATGGTGTACCACGGTAATGCACGATGACAGTGCGCCCTTGTCTGCTTTTGTTCACTAGTGTCCAGATTTCCCGATCTTTGAAGGCTAGCACCTCTCCGTTTGGCATTCTGAATTTCTTGTAGTCTGCATGAAGATTTGAGCGCTCGTTTGTTTGTCTTTGCCTATCAGTGCTGCCCATCAGTGCCAGTCAGTGCCGCCTATCAGTGCCCATCAGTGATTTTATAGATTTATAACAAAAACTAAGAAAAAACATTTTTTAAAAAAAAATTTCAGTGGTTTTTGGTTTAAGAAAAAATAAAAACCCAGAGGTGATTAAATACCACCAAAATAAAGCTCTATCTCTCACAAAAAAAATGATAAAAATTTCATATGGGTACAGTGTTGCATGACCGTGCAATTGTCATTGAAAGTGTGATAGCGCTGAAAGCTGGAAATTGGCCTGGGCAGGAAGGGGGTATAAGTGCCCTGTAGGCTAGGGGTTAACTAAAAAAAAAAAAAAACAGATTTGTATCCACCCTGATTGGTTCAGTACAGAGGAGCTTGCTAAGGTGGGTTTGGACTGGGATTACAACGCGCCTGAGCTCATCCCTACTAAGAAGCCTAAATAATAGCACAGTGGCTGAATGGTTAGCACTTCCGCCTGGCAGTACTCGGGTCATTGGCAGGGGCGGACTGACCATTTGGAAACTCGGGCACTGCCCGAGGGCCCGGGGTCAGTAGGGGGCCCCATGAGATGCCCCTGGTACCTTTTTCATAGGCTTTTTTGAGTTTGGGCAAGGACACAGGGGCCCCATGATCCCCCAATGCCCGGGGGCCCATGAGTTGTCAGTCCGCCCCTGGTCATTGGTTCAAATCCCAACCACAGCATCACCTGCCTGGAGTTTACATGTTCTCTCTGTGCCTGCGTGGGTTTCCTCCGGGTACTCTGGTTTCCTCCCACACTCCAAAGACATGCTGGTAGGTTAATTGGCCCAAGTGTATGAATGTAAGTTAGGGACCTTAGATTGTACACTCGAGGGTTAGGGACTGATGTGAATGTACAATATATATGGGTAAAAAGCTGCGTAAATGGACGGCGCTATATACAGTTGCAAGAAAAAGTATGTGAACCCCTTGGGATTACGTGGAGTTTTGCATGAATTGGGCATAAAATGTTCTCTGAACGTCATCTAAGTCACAACAATAGAAGAACACAGTCTACTGAACATAATACTACACAAACATTAGATGTTGCCATGGTTTAATTGCACATAACATGTATACATTCACAGTGCAGGGAGGAAAAAGTATGTGAGACCCTAGCTTAATGACATCTCCCAGAGCTAATTGGAGCCAGGCGTGAGCCAACCTTGACTCCAATCAGTGTGATGATATTGGATGTGTTGCTGACAGCTGTCCTGCCCTTAAAAAACACACACCTGTTTTTGGTTTACTGGTTTCAAGAAGCACTGTCTGATGTGAACCATGCCTCACAGAAAAGAGCTCTCAGAAGACCTACGATCAAGAATTGTTGACTTGCATAAAGCTGGAAAGGGTTACAAAAGTATCTCCAAAAGCCTTGATGTTCATGTGTCCACGGTAAGACAGACTGTCTACAAATGGAGAAAGTTTAGCACTGTTGCTACTCTCCCTAGGCGTGGGCATCCTGTAAAAATGACTGCAAGAGCACAGCGCAGAATGCTGCATGAGGTAAAGAAGAATCCCAGAGTGTGTCAGCTAAAGACCTTCAGAAATCTCTGGCACATGCTAACATTTTTTTGAGTTGACCCATCTACAATAAGGAAAACATTAAACAAGAATGGAGTACATGGGAGGACACCACGGAGGAAGCCATTTCTGTCCAAAAAGAATATTGTAGCACGTTTGAAGTTTGCAAAAGAGCACCTGGATGTTCCACAGCACTACTGACAAAATATACTGTGGACAGATGAAACCAAGATTGAGTTGTTTGGGAAGAACACACAACACTATGTGTGGAGAAAAAAAAGGCACAGCACACCAACATCAAAACCTCATCCCCACTGTAAAACATGGCGGAGGGAGCATCATGGTTTGGGGCTGCTTTGCTGCCTCAGGGCCTGGACGGATTGTTGTCATTGATGGGAAAATGAATTTCAGAGTTTATCAAGACATTTTGCAGGAAAACGTACTACCATCTGTCCGCCAAGTGAAGCTCCTCAAGGATGGGTGATGCAACAGGACAATGACCCAAACCATACAGTAATTCAACAAAACAATGGCTGCAACGGCACAGAATACCCTTCTGGAGTGGCCCAGTCAGAGTCCTGACCTCAACCCGATTGAAATGCTGTGGCATGACCTTAAGAGAGCGATTCACACCAGACATCCCAAGAATATTGCTACACTGAAACAGTTTTGAGAAGAGGAGTGGTCCAAAATTACTCCAGATCGTTGTGCAGGTCTGATCTGCAACTACAGGAAACGTTTGGTTGAGGTTATTGCTGCCAAAGGAGGGTCAACCAGTTATTAAGTCCAAAGGTTCACATACTTTTTCCTCCCTGCACTGTGAATGTTTTACATGTTATGTGCAATTAAACCATGGCACATCTAATGTTTTGTGTAGTATTATGTTTTCAGCAGACTGTGTTATTGTTGTGACTTAGATGACGAATGTACATTTTATGCCCAATTCATGCAAAACTCCGTAATCCCAAGGGTTCACACGGCTTGCAACTATAAGTACCTAAAATAACAGATTAGTTTAAAATGCAAACCTGTCCCATTCCGTCATAACATAGGCATCAATGTACACACATCAAACAGTCATTCCGAAGGGTATCTTACCCGTATTTCATGCTGATGCCACCTCCGGTCCCCGTCACCCATCCCAAATTATAGAACTGCCGGCACAGCTCTGGGATCAAGTGTCGCGGGTGTCCCTTCTCCTGAAAATAGATCACCGTAGTCACCTTACTTAATCCAAAACATAATAACAATCATTTTAATAAATAACAGTGACAGTAGTAATCATATGAAATAATAATGACTATAGTAATCCCCCCCAGGATGCACTCAGTGGTCACTATACCTTAGCACTGTCAGTCTGATTGCAGTTCTCCCCATTGCAGTAGTACATGGCTCCCTGGACTGTGCTTTGCTGGACTCAGGAGTTGTTTCCTCTCTCTGTATATAAATATCTGGCCTGTATATGCTATACAGAGGTACTCAATGTGTACAGTGCCTAATGTTATGCTTCCCTGTGTTGTACAGTGTGCCTATACAGAGACAAGTCAGCTGCTGCAACAGACAAGGAGGAGCCAACCTCCTAACCAACCCTCATGGACACACTGCTATCTGGTTGCAGCCTGGAGCTCCACTCTCAGGAAACACGTGACCACACACATTTCCTGTGTAAAGTGGAGCTCCAGTAGATCCACTCTGCAGCCGGATACCATTGCATGCCAGCAGTGATCAGGCAGCAGTGAAGAGGTTAATTATGTGAAAAATGTAAGGCGGTGCTAAAGAGGCTTTTATTCCTGTGATTCAAAGTGTTCGTAGACTGGAGCTCCACTCTCAACAGGAAACATGTGACTTCCACTCAAAGCTTTTTTTTTTTTTTTTTTTTTAAATCAACTTTAATGTAACACACAAGCAATAGACACAACTGGAGTCAGTGGAGGTCACATATGTCATGTCTAGAGTGGAGCTCCAGTCTGCAGCCAATTACTGTTGCATGGAAGCAGTGATCAGACAGCAGTGAAGGGGTTACTAAAATAAGTGACTACTATTGCAGGCCATAGACAGTTTGTTTATCGGATGAAAAACAAAAAAAATCGGTCATTCTGTTGCCACCAATGATTACAAAAATCGGCCGTTTTTCATAAATATTTCAGCATGACCAATAAAAGAAATGAGGAGGAACCGTGAAAATCGGCCGATGACATCGCCCCACTAACGGTGTGAATATCGGCTGATTATTCTTTCGGATGAAAAATCGGCCGATAAACAAGCCGTCTATGGCCTGCATAAGGCTGGGTTCACATGTATGCGGTGCGGTATATCGCATGTGATTCGCACAGGAACCGCACAGCATTCCTGTGCAAATTACATGCGATTTGTGTGCGGTGCAATTGGAGCCATACATTATGTATGGCTCTAATCGCACCGCACCTGCACCACAAAGGTGCAGGACCCTTTTTTTTAGGTGCGCACTAGAATCCGATCGCATGGGTATTCACACCTATGCGATCCGATTCTGCACATCGCACCACGTTTTGTGTACCGCTTTCGGGGTGTTGTTAACATACACCCGCAGCAGTTCGCATGAACAGGGTGCGATTCTGATACGGTGCGGAATTCGCACAGAAAACGCTGCGAATTCCACACCGCATCAGTGTGAGCAAACCTTTTAGCTCTATATAAATACTGTATAATAATAATAATAACCAGAGCTAAGTGCTGTATTAAAGGTGACTGCTACTGTGAATGCTGCTGCTATCATCTATTGTGTTTCCACAATGCAACTTAAATAAAAATAAATAAAATGTGACGTAAATAAAAATCAATCCATCATGGTGGAACAAAGTGAATAAAAACTTAATACAAAGTGCCCATAAAGCCTAAATAAATTCTAATAATCTAATAATGCACTCTGTTCATCAATTACTACACAATCAAAGGAAACTGGTATTAAAGTGCTCCAAAAACATATACTGTAGGTATAAAGTTCATACGATTCCAAATGTAAACATAATCCAGTGCCATAGATAGAGAATCCGTGCTTTGCGTGAATTCCATGCACTAATTAGTGCCACTTCTGAGCTCTCAGAACTTTCACCTCCAATGCAAAACTGTGTGTTTAATGAGACATCTCCACAGCTGATCACTATCTCCTTTGGCCACTAGTTGCTATTCACTCCTCCTCCCATAAGGTAGATGTTAAAGTGGAGCTCCACCCAAAAGGGGAAGTTTCCACTTTACAAACTGATCCCCCACTCCCAAATAAGGATTGGCACCTTTGGGGAGCAGGTACCTGAAATTGACAGGTACCTCCTCCCATGTCCGTTGCGATCGGCAGCGGAAGTTGTCCTCCTACCCTCCCTCCCCATAGTCTTCTGGGACATGTGACAGGTCATTCAGGAAACGCAGCGCTTCTCACGCATGCGCAGTGGGCACCTGGCTGTGAAGCCGCAAGCTGTCACAGCCGAGTGCACACACTGAAGATGCCGACACCTGGAACACCAGACGAATGGTGAAACGGGCTGCAGGGTCGGACACCGTGCGACAGGTGAGTGGCTGTTTTTTAAAAGTCAGCAGCTACAGTTTTTGTAGCTGCTGACTTATTTTTTTGACAGTGAGAGTGGAACTCCGCTTTAAGGTAGCCTTAGAGATCCACCATTTCAATGAATAACAGTTGCCTCACCCAAAAGAGAATATGTTTCATATAGTGTAGTAGATTAGTAAAACTTTCAGTATTTATTAAAATTGCACTTTCATTCAAAATAAAAGAAATTCACTTTACAGATGAGAGATCGCGGCTTGTACTTCCTTTATCTGCTTCCGCTTACATCCAACGCGTTGTGTCACATGACTTCATCAGGGAATCCCCTGAAGTCACGTGATGCAACGCGTCGGACGTAAGCGGAGGCAGATAAAGGAAGTACAAGCCGCGATCTCTCATCTGTAAAGCGAATTTCCTTTATTTTGAAGGTAAGTGCAATTTTAATAAATACTGGAACTTTTATTAATGTATCATCTCTGGAAATCACAAGATTAATTCTACCATCATGAGTTTTCATATATTATCTATTGTTTTACTATTTGCCCGTCGCCCTATAGTAGAATTACTGGAGCAGAGCTGCGCAAAATCACAAATATATGCATGTTATTTGTATTTTCAGGTAGGGGATGTCAATCACCGAGTCCCAGGCAGAGATTCCCCGCTGGCACCTGGCGACTGCCGAGTAACACTGACAGGAGAGACCTGTGTGTAAAAAACACAGGTCTCTCTCCTGCCAGCAAGAACATGCTGCTGTGTATGTTTCCCTAGTAAAACACACACAGCACAGCGTTAACCCTTTGATTGCCCAGATGTTAACCCCTTCCTGTCCAGTATCATTCGTACAGTATCAGTGCTTTTTATTAGCACTGATCACTGTACTGCTGTCACTGGGGATGTCAGTGGCAATTAGTCAGTTTCCTCCCAGTGTCAAAATGCCCACCACAGTCTCGCTATAAGTCACTGATCGCCGCCGTTACTAGTATAAAAGAAAAAATTAATTTTCAGTATATATAGCGCCATTTGTAAATGCTATAACTTTCACATAAAGCAATTCATTTACACGTATTGGGATTTTTTTTAGCAAAGACATGGAGCAGAATACATTTTGGCCTAAATTTATGCCGAAATTTAATTTATTAATTTTTTTTACTGGGCATGTTTTATAGCAAAAAATAAAAAATATTGTTTTTTTTCAAAATTGTCGGTCTTTTTTTTTTGTTTATAGCGCAAAAAATTAAAAACCGCACAAGTGATCAAATACCACTGAAAGAAAGCTCTATTTGTGGGAATAGCTAAAATAACGCAGCGCCATATCTCAAAAAAAAGGCCTGGTCAGGAAGGGGGGGGGGGGGGGGTAAATCCTCTGGAGGGCAAGGGGTTAAATTCACAATATTTAAACTCACGTTCACAAACCATTCTAACTGATAACCCTAACCTTTTGCACTGCAAGCAGAAGCAACGATAGGCTACTGTTATATATATATATACACTGTTATCTCTAAACTTTATTTTAACTTCATACTTGTGGTATATGTGTTATGTTAGTTGAGCACTGGCTCAGAAAAGAGGTTATTTAGATTATTTTGTTTTTATTATCAATAATTTTAATTACTATTATTAATTATTATCAACAGTAAAGGACAAAAGTACAAAAGGAACATACATCCTAATTCATCCAAATATACGAGGGGCATTCAAGTCAAACCAGGACTTTTCATTTTAGAGGTATAAAAAGGAATGCTAGCGTGGCGGTACTACATGCAGTAGTAAGTGGCAAGCGTGTCCTATTACTGATAGGTGGAGCACATGTCACGGACCAGTCCAGAGACCATTAATCAAGATGGTAGACAACAGTGTCAGTGTGTGCATGGAAGAGCATCTAGTGATAAAATTTCTTGTGAATGAAGGTGTAAAAACCCGTGGATGTCTACAGAAGACTTCAAGCACAGTACGGTGAGGACACACTCAGCCGCAGTAAGAAATTTAAATGGTGTAAATGTTTCAAAGATGGCTGTATGCCTTTCAGTGATGATGGCCGTGGTGGTTCCCAGCCCACAGCAGTCATTCCTGTGAACAATCAGCAAGTGGAACGCCTGATCCTGGCTAATCGACAGATAACCTGTCGTGAAATTGCACAAGAGATGAATCTTTGTGGGAACGGTGAACAAAATGATGGCGAAGTGAAGCCGGCTGTCCTAGGATGGTTCAGGTGTACTGACATATCTTTCTATGCTGAAGCTTTCCAGACATTAGTAAAATGCTGGGACAAATGTGTAAATGTAGCAGGGGAGTATGCAGTTTCCATTCCTTGAAATTGGTCTTTTATTATATGAACTCAAAAGTCCTGGTTTGACTTGAGCTCCCCTCGTACAAAGTAACAGAGGATATAAAAAGGAGAACTACATCACAAGATTAACCAAAATGTCACCTATAATAAGCACATACAAGATCAAGACCATTCAGGATCAAATAGTTAAAAGATTGGTAAATAAATATATTACTTTGGGTGTAGCCGGCACAGATGGCAGTGCATATGTGTGTTCTACCACAGATGTGAAGGACAGTGGTCTTGACAGTGGACGGGATGCAGCAGGTGGTGGTTTCAGCACTGAAGAGCGTGCAGTGGATGATGGGATCAACGCTGGAGAGCGTGCAGTGGATGATGGGATCAGCGCTGGAGAGCGTGCAGTGGATGATGGGATCAGCGCTGGAGAGGGTGCAGTGGATGATGGGATCAGCGCTGGAGAGGGTGCAGTGGATGATGGGATCAGCGCTTGAGAGGGTGCAGTGGATGATGGGATCAGCGCTTGAGAGGGTGCAGTAGATGATGGGATCAGTACTGAACGGGGTGCAATAGATGATGGGATCAGTACTGAACGGGGTGCAATAGATGATGGGATCAGTACTGAACGGGGTGCAGTAGATGATGGGATCAACACTGAACGGTGTGCAGTGGATGATGGGATCAGCACTCGAGAGGGTGCAGTGGATGATGGGATCAGCACTGGACTGGGTGCAGTGGATGATTGGATCAGCACTGGACGAGGTGCAGTGGATGATGAGATCAGGACTGGACGGGGTGCAGTGGATGATGGAATCAGCACTGGAGGAGGTGCAGTGGATGATGGGATCAGGACTGGACGGGGTGCAGTGGATGATGGGATCAGCACTGGAGAGGGTGCAGGAGATGGTTGTTTCAGCACTGCAGAAACTTCACATGACAATAAATGTTTTTTCCATATCCACCCTGCGTATAACTGTTCTTTTACAGAGGTGGCAGTGATAATGTCCCACCAGCCGGCATGGTAGCCTGCACCGGCCTAAGGTTTTGTCTGTAAGAGAAATAAAATATTAATAAACTGCAATTAAAATATAACCAATTTATACAACTTTCTCAGTGTGCACATTTTTAGACTTTAACTTCAAAAACGACCTTACTATCCCCTATAATAAGACAGAAACCTGTGGGTAGGGACCAAAACACAAACAAAAGTCCACAAGCAATGTGCTAAACCCTGAGCAGAAGGACATTGGTCAGCACCGTCCATGTGATGGTGCTGACCAATCAGAAACCATTTAGCCCATACTGTCAGCACTGCGAGAAGAGGAGCCACAGCCGCAGGGATTTTAAATGCCCAGACAGGTGAAACGGCTTAATGGTGTCTGACAGCGGGGGATCTTGTACAGCAGGATTTGGGCGGATGGGTTCCAGTGGATGGTTCAAACCCGCTAGAGGCTGGGGGAAGAGAGCCACTGGAGATAGGGGCAACAAAGCCGTGGGAGAGGCCGAAAGAGCCTAAGCCGCTGACGTCCGCAGTCAGATCGGGAGTCAAATCTTTGCTTGTGGAACCAGTCATGCAGGGAGGTTTCCTGCACCACTCCTGTGTGACCTCAGGCTCAAAGTCATTATGACACAGGAGCAGTGCGGGAAACCGCATGCAATTCGGACAGGAATCGCACCGCATTTTTTTGCAGTGTGATTTGAGCCCATTCCTTTTGTATGGGCTCAAATTGCACTGCAAAGATATCAATCGGTACTCGGTATCAGCGAGTTCTTGACCAAAAGTATCAGTACTTGTACTCGCCAGTAAAGGTGCAACCCCAATATAAATACAAGAATATATATGATTTTCAAAAACATGTAGGTTTAATGCCAACATACCTTTGAACCGTAAAACTCTTTTTACGTGGATATCCATGTGTGGCTCAGTCTTGGCCCTGTTAGTTGGCATGAAGGTGGGACAAAAAGGACAATGAAACTGCTCTTTGAAACAGGTATTGCATTCCTCCAACATAAACATGAACTTCCATGATCACCACAAATGTAAACAGTTACATGGTAAACAATTGCTTTTAGACAAAGAAGACAAGGAACCTCAACATTAAAGACAGCAAATCCAGTTTACAAAGTTAAAAAAGTTGAACTATAGGCAAAACTTTTTACTTTCATTTTGGATAGAGTGATGGAGGGTTATAGACCCTATCAGATTTTTTTTTTCACCATCTGTGTCCCATTGGGGAGATTTCCCTTCACTTCCTGTCCCATAGCCAAAAAAATGAAGTGAGAGGAAATCCCTGCAAATTAAGGGAATTCCTTGGGGACCCCCAGGTCACCAGAACTAGTGTCCCGATCGGGCGGACTGACAACTCATGGGGCCCCCGGGCAATAGGGTATCATGGGGCCCCTGTGTCCTTGTCCACACTCAAAAAAGCCTATGAAAAAGGTACCAGGGGCATCTCATGGGGCCCCCTACTGACCCCGGGCCCTCGGGCAGTGCCCGAGTTTCCAAATGGTCAGTCCGCCCCTGGTCCCAACTGAAATATTTTCCCTCTCTTACTTTTCTGGGGACAGCCCAAAATTTTAGGTTTTCTTTGCTTTTGCTTCTAATGATAAAACAGGACAAATAGAGAGGGTGAATCTCCCTCACTCTAGGTTCACACCTATGCAGTTTGCGTTTGAGCCATTTCTGCATTGCATTTTGCGTTGCATTTTTGATGCTTTTTTTTTTCTTGTTGCTAAGCAGATTTAAAATGCAAAACGCATCAAAAACGCAATACATGTTTTTCTGCAATGTTTCCATTAACGTCTGTAGAAACAAAAACTCTACTTTTTGCATTCAAAAAAGTCCCTGACCCTTTCCATATAACGCACCGGGTGAAAAACGCAGAGATGTGAACCTGTCCCATAGGAAATCATGTTAAATGGACTGCACTGCATTTCTGCAAAACGCACACTGCTGCAGAAAACACGTAGATGTGAACCTAGGGTACTGGGATCACAGGCAGCAATAAAAAACCTGACCTGTGTTCTTGTCCATCTCCACTCTATCCAAAACTGAAAAAAAAAATGTTTTGCCTTTAGTTATACTTTAAAAGCAGAACTACACTTCATCTGAGCAGCACAAACCAAAAACACTAACTCATTCTTAATTTTCAAAGCAAACCCCCCCATCCATCCATTTACCCATCTATCCATATCTCCATGCTTTATTTTGCTGAGAAATCACTTTGAAAAACACCCCACTAGCATTTTCTGGCTGCGGCCATCTTATGTAAGGGCAGATGTATTTACGTTCTGGAATCTGCAATCCATCTGCCCTTAGCTCAGGCATGCAGGCAGGAGGGTGTGCTTAGCTCCTCCGCCCCTGAAGACTCCTGGGATGTGTGACATCATTTGCCTAGGCATAGAAACCAAGAAGTAACTGAAGAAATGGAAAAAAAAAAAAAAGTTTACAAGTAAAATACCATATACTTTCCTATCTATTTACTAATAGTAGCAGCATAAGGATTCAAAATAGTTCATGTTGATTGAGAGCATAACGTTCCAGTTTAAGGACAGAAATTATGAAACCTACCAAAAATATCTCCTCGCGGTTCGCTAGCTGTCCGCTCTGTGTGACTACAGTGTTTCTGCAAAGCCCTGGCTCAGTAAATGAAAAGAAAAAGAAAGTGGCCAGCTAGATAACGTATCTGGCTACAGACTGGAGCTACTGGAGCTCCACGCTAAACAGAAGACATGTGACAGGAAATGCAGATGTGACAGGAAACATGTGACCTCCACTTACTCAAGTTGTGTCTATTGGTTGTTTGTTACATTAAAGTTGATTTAAAAAAAAACCCTTTGAGTGGTTTCCTGTCTAGTGTGGAGCTCCAGTCTGCAGCCAAACCCCTCTCCTCACGGAAGGACTGAGCAGCACAATGATGACATAAAAAAACACTCAAACGTCTGTAGTCCAGTTTAAAAAGCAGATAAAAAGAACTCTATTAGGAAACTGTCTCTGCTTGTGCTGCCATTTTTGCTGCGCCTGCTTCATAAGATATAATGGAAAGTGGTCTCCAAGAAAATGGCTGTTCACCCAAACAGGTTTTTATAATAATAATAATAATAATAATAATAAAAAAAAGATAGCGTTGTGCTCAAAAGTTTGCATCCCCTGGCAGAAATTGTGAAATTTTGGAACTGATATTGAAATTATGACATAATAATAATGATAAAAAAACAGATAAAAAAAATAAATATATAGAATAAAAATAATAATAGGGGAAAAAAAAAAAAGAGGGGAGAGAGATGTACTCAAAAGTTTGCATTCCCTGGCAGAAATTGTGACATTTTGGCATTGAAATTGAAAATGTGACTGACCATGCCAAAAAAAAAAACGTGTCTGTTAAATTAAGGATAGTGATGATATGAAGCCATTTATTATCACACAGTTGTTTGGCTCCTTTAAAAAATCATAATGATAACAGAAATTGCCCAAATGACCCGGATCAAAAATGTCCATCCCCTGGAATGATTGGTATTGGTATAGACACACAAGGTGACACACATGGGTTAAAATGGCAATTAAAGGTTAACCCCTCGCCCTCCTGAGGATTTCCCCCCCTTCCTGACCAGGCCATTTTTTGCGTTACAGCGCTGCATTACTTTAACTGACAATTGCGCGGCAATGCAACGCTGCACCCAGATGAATTGACATCCTTTATTTCCCACAAATTGACCTTTCTTTCGTATTTGATCGCCTGTGGGGTTTTTTTTATCACCATATTTTCAGAATTTGAGAATTTTGAGAAAAAAAAAACAATAATTTTGACTTATTGCTAATAAACATGTCCAGTAAAAAATTTTTTAAAAATCAAATTTCGTCAAAAATTTAGGCCAAAGTGTATTCTGCTCCATGTCTTTGCTAGAAAAAAATCCCAATACGTGTAAATTATTTCTGTTTACATGAAAGTTATAGGATTTACAAATGGTGGTATAGATACTGGAATTTTTTTTTTCATTTTTACTAGTAATGGTCAGCGACTTATAGCGGGACTGCGGTGGACATTCTGACACTGGGGGGGAGGGCTTGCTTGGTGTCACTGACATCCCCAGTGACACCAATGCAGTGATTAGTGCTAAAACAAAGCACTGACACTGTACTAATGGCACTGGGCAGGAAGGGGTTAACACGAGGGGCAATCAAAGGGTCAACTGTGTGCAAGGAGTGTTTTACTATGGAGCGGTGTGTGTGTGTGTGTGTGTTTCACTCTAAGCACACTGCTCTGGATGGCTGTGCTGAGCACAGCCATCCAGAGCAGTGTGCCCCGAGCTGACAGAGAGGAGGACTGTTAGTAATCAAAACAGTCTTCTTCCCCGTCGGTGATCGTCGGAAATCACCGGGCGCCA